GGATGCAATTAGGGGGAGGCAGCAAGAAAAAATATTACGCAGGTGCTGTGGGATGTTTCTGGAAACTTCAGATGTTGCTTTTCCCAATGCTTGAGATCGTGCTCCTTCTATTTATTGAGTGATCGCTGTTTCCCTGCGCTATGGTTGGTACAGGAGGCTTGGGAAATGCACAGTGCTGGGCTGCATTTTACTGCTTAACTTCTTTATTATTTTTTTTTACTTTTTCCCTGTTATGCACAATCCCATCCCAAAAATGTGGTTCTTGCAGATTCAGTGGGAGAATCCCTGGAGTCAGGCACTGGCTTGCATTGAGCTCATTTCCCTGGGCAAAGCAGGCAGCTTCCGTGGGGCGTGGAGCCCATGACATGCCCTCTCCTGGGGTAATCAACGGGTTTAACTGGGGGAGAACGCTGGAAAAAGTTGGGCACCAGAGCAGCCTCCCTCCCTCTGTTGCCCCCGGATGGCTTTGGGAGCAGTGAGATGTTTGGATAATGTAAATCTATCCGTCTTTGGCTTTTATGGTGCCCAGGGGATGCATCCGTCATGGTGGGGCTCCCTCCCTTCGGGGAGCCGCCAGCTCCACACTACCTAGAGCTGTGCTGGAAGGGCTGCTGGGCAGTGCAGGTTTCTCCTCCCCGTGGGATTTGTGGCTTTGAAATATGCCCTTTTTCCTTTGCTCTGATGATGCTAAATAAAACCCCAAGTTTTTTTTGCAGGACAGCCCTGCGGGGGAGCAGTGCATGGAGGCTCCTGGCTGCCGCCGGTCACTGCCGGCCGTGAGAACTGAGGCTCTTTGGAGGGAGTTTGGCCACTTGGTTTGTTTGGTTTGATTTCTCTCTCTCTTTTTTTTTTGTTGCTGTTGTTTTCTCTTTGGGTTACGAAGGGGCTCAGACAGCGCAGCGCCGGGTGGCATCGCTCTGGGCAGACACACATTGCACGTGTCCTCAGGGAGCCAGGATTATTTTGGCCAGGATTGAACAGAGCAGCCCAGCCTGCAATTCTCCATCTCATCCAAAGGGGAGTGCAAATGCCAGGCCTCGGTCTCCTTATTTTCAAAATTGTATTGAAAAGTTCTTATCTATAGGTTGAGTTTTTTTGTTTTTTGGTTTTTTTTTTGGCAGGAGGCATTCCCAGGCTCTTTGTTTCCAGCCCAGGGAACAACACAGTTGTCAGAGGAATTAGGAAAGTCAGAGGAATTAGGAAAAAAAAAAAAGTAAAAATTGGGAAAAAATTAATTCCAATACTATGCAAACTGTAGAATGGTCCTGAGAGCAGATCTTTTCTGCCTGCTGGCATTTTTAGCAGCTGCTGGCCCTGCTCAGCTCATCCTAATCACTTAGCTGCCATCCCGTGTTAAGAAATCTCAGTGACAATGCATCTTACGCAGGGTCATTTCCTCCAGGGCAGGCTCCTGCTAGCCACAGCCACACTGCAGGCTTCTGTTTAACATCTGCTCCTGCTTCTGCCCTGCCCTTTGGGTCACTGGCACAGCTCGCCTTTCACCCCGCCTTGCTCAGTGGGGACGAGGAGCACCTCTCCCTCCCCATCCCCTGCATCACTGCCTCAGTGCCCCTGCGATGGGTTCTGGCATCTTGATGCGCTCCGAGCCTCCATGAGGGGTCAACCGTGTGGGTCACATTTGGTGGCAGCGGCCTTTGACCCTTCGCTCACAGCTCTGGCACAAAGAACATCACTTTCCCCATCAGAAGACTCGATCTGAATTAGCACCATTGCTCCAGCACTGCACAGCACTGCACTGATAGCTGGGCTGGTGGGCTGCCTGGTGCCTGCCCTCATGCCCAGCAGTTCGGATGCAGCAGCCAAATGTGGCAAGAGTGTAGAGAGCAGTGCAAGCTCAACCTCTTAGCAGATCTGAGAGCACCTCCACTGCATGTTACACAGGCCTGTTGGTAACTGTGGTTCCTGCTGTTCCTGCCTGCTACAATTCAGGGTTTGGCTCCCTACCAAAAGCGATCAGCCTTCTGCTTCCCAGTAACAGTGCTTTGGTAATGACATAAGGGAATAAGGTCCTCGTAGGAGCCATGAGAAGAAGTTTCAGCATCAAGTTCATGGCCTCAGAGCCTTGGATTTTCATGGAAACCCACAAAAACATGTTTACAATTTCTTCTGCCTGAGTGTCCAGTGTCTCACCTGGGTGAAATCAGAGAAACATAGAATCACAGAATCATTAAGGCTGGAAAGTCCAACCATGGACCCCTCAGCACGTGGGCTGATCCCACGGCCACCTCTGCACGTGGGCAGGAGGATGGGGCATCCCTGGGAAAGCGAGCACGTGGTTTTAATTTTCCTCTTGATCCACAGAGAAAAGAAAAGCAGGGAGATTTATGACCTGCCTTCTCCTCCTCCAGGTTTATAAATAGAGTTTATCAGGTGCGGGGCATATGGTGGCTTCTGGGGAACGCCAGAGAGGGATCAAACGCGGTGTTGGTGCCTCCTCCCCTCCCCTTTCAATGTCTCATCTCCTGAGCCCATCTATTAATGGCCACATTAACCTCTCCTCTTCGAGCTGGAGATGGGTTCAGACATTTGCCATCTGCAGCCCGCATAACCAGCCCCCAGCTCCTGTGTGCCAGGCTCCTGCAGCTTTGATGTCTTCCTGCTTTCCCCCAGGTGCACACATTGCTGTGGAGCAGAGGGCTGCAGAGCTCCGTGCGAGGACACCCCGCTCGATGAAAAGGATGCTAGGGGTGAAGGAATGCATAGGGGGAAGGGAAAAGACAAATAAAACCCACGAGGATGCTTGCACATCGTCAGCTACTGCACAGAAGTTTTCTCTTTGCATAAATTCATTTTGCACTGCTGCTTGGCACTTCAGGCAGTGGTTTTCTTTTACCCTGGAGCCACTCCTGTGAGGTGCCATGCTGGTTTTCTCCTCCCCTTCTCGTGGATTTATAAGAAAAATGGGTTTTCGCAAAGGCTGAAGCACTTCCTGCTGCAAGTTGCATGAGTATTCAGAAAACAAGACAGGAACATTTGTCTTTCCTTGCTCGGAGACAATTATCGCAGGATCCTTATCTCCCATCTTTAAAGAGTCACAGCACAAGCACAGCGCTGGGCTAATCCCCACTCCAATCCCAGCCCCAGTGAGAACACTTTCCATCGGGAGCACAGCTTCCAGAAGGGCTGATGGTAGAGCTGTGCTGGGATTAACCTTTTCAGACCCTTCTCTGAGTTTGGAAAGTGGTATTTTATTTATTTATTTTTTTTTCTGAGATGTCAAGCCCAGGAACAAATAGATGAGAGAAGTTTTCCAGCAGCCGATGATTCAAATCTCCTTCCCCTTCCATTCACAAACGTTTTTGTTGTTTTTTTTGTTTTTTTTTAATTTTTCCACAGATGTCTTTTCTGGTTTCAGCATGGATTTGCACCAGAGAAACTGTAAATGAAGGAAGCTTCAGTAAACAGTGCTCCTTGAGACACATTTGGAACAGTTTTCCAGGTGATATAACTCCACTAACGTCAGCAGCAATGGACGTGGGGTTGGAAAATCATGGTAAACAGAATTGCAAAATGACCAGCTGCTGGCTCTTTGTTTCTTACAGCAAAATGATGAAATGGTGGCATTTTAACTCACGTTATTGAGCTTCTCACACATTTATTAGCTTGGATCTGCCTTTAACCCTGTGGGCAGCCCTTCCTTGTGTGCCCCAGGCTCTAGATTTTGATGGGACAGGGTGTCTTCGTGACTCCCAACCAGATGAATCACCCTCTTCCCACTGCTGCCCAGGGAATGCAGGCTGTGACAGAGCACTGCTGGCCCCAGAGAGGGAATCTGCAGCCCCTCTGAGTGCTGACCTCTTGGCCAGCTGGATTTAAAGGATTTGAATCCACTTTCTTAACTGTGCCCAAGCTCTCTGCTCTTTGCATCCACTGTTTTACACAGTGCTGTCCACATTTAGTTGAGACATCTCCCAGATTGACACCACACACTGGGGCAGCCCATTCCCACCATTTCAGATGCCTTGGGACAGCTCCATATTGTTGCAGCGAGCACAGCAGCTGAGCCTTGCTACCAACCCCATCCATCCAGAGCATGTGCACTCAGCATCACCTCAGTGGTCAACAAGAGCTGGTAGATGCCAAATAAAATCCCATCATTAAAACCCCCAGTGAGTGATTTCAATCCATCTGTCTGCCCAAAGCATCCTCAGCAGGGGCTGTGCAATCTCAGGCCATCGCCCCCAACAAGCTCCTTTGAACTCCAACCCACCGGGCCACAGCAGCCACAAGTCAGCCTTGTCTGAACATGGTTTTAATCTGGTTGGATATATTTAATGCACTGACATGTCTTAAACTGGAGGAGATCTAAGCCCTGCCTGGCAGGTGTGATGGAAAGCAGACGCTGCCTCCATTGGCTTTCTGGCTCTGGAGGTGCTGCTGGGAAAATGGGATGAGAAGCACTGGCCCAGAAGTTCCGTGGTGTGCAAACATCCATCGAAACTGGGTGAGATGAGGGGGAAAGGTATCGAGACACAAAGTGACAAAACACATGGAAAAGGGAATGGAAACCAAGAGGAAAATGGAGGTAAACAGAAAAAGGCACAGAGAGATGAGATGGGGGGTGAGGTGCTGGAGCCTTGGAGGATCCACCAAGCAGCACCAGCTCCTCCACATAAGCTGTCTTCAATAAATATTTTGTTTCCAGCAAAACCCAAAACCAAACTTCTTTTCTCTGTGGGGTGCCTTCAAAATGGTGCATTTTTAAAGGAAATTCTTATTTAATATGAACATCCTCATTTTTCAAGGAAAAGAGCAAAGATATCCCCAGGAAAAGGGAGAGACAGAAATTTGCACCTGTAGTGGAAACGGTGAGTGACAGCCTGAAGCAGTGATGGGGTGAAGGAGTGATGGGGGGATGGCAGGGCCAGCACAGGGAGCTCAGGTGCATGCAATGTACTGAGTGATGGAAGGGCTGCAGCCAGGACCCACCCCTTCCCAGCCCTCATTTAAGGGTTTGCAGTGGAGGTGAGGGGATCATGCTGGAGCTCCCTGTATGCCTGAGCCCTTCTAAAGGTAAGCAGGTTTTTTTTTCATTTGTTTCTGTGTCCAGAGCTGCTGCATTGAGCATATTCTCACTTGTTGCAGCCTGGGACTTTGCTACACTGCTGTGCATTCCACTGCATTATGGTATTACAGCCCCAAGCACTCTCGATTTAATTGTGTAAAACCATGACTTAGATAAATGGAAAGCACTGTGGAAAGGGTTTACACTGCATAATCCCTTGCAGGACCAAATTTTACTTCTTTTCAGACAACTGTCCATCTCTGCCCAGTGAGTTAGCAGTGGTTCTTCTGGCTGCACGGTGAGTGAGACAAAGCTCTGCTCTCTTTTCTGGCACTCCCACAGCTGCAGTTGTCTCTGCACAAAGTCTGTGTGATCTATTAAAGATCTCAAATAAGGATTTAATTTAGTTTTAATAAGACAGTTTGGGGGATGTTAATTAAATTGAGTTATTAAAAGCACATGGGCTGGACTTGGCTAATACATTTCCTCTTTTATTAAGTCCATTAAAAAATAAGGGGTAGAAGAAAAAAAAAATAGAAGAAAAAAAAAAAACCCTGCCTTTAGATGAAGAAATGTGTTCAAAAGGCTTCTTTTCCTCTGCTGAATTAAACATGTATCACAAAGTGTCCCAAGAGATGAACCAAAGAAGCAGTAAGGTGAACTTGAATTCTCCCAGGCTCCCCAAGACGTGAGCACAAATCATGCCAAACTGGTGTTGGGATGATGCCAAAACATTGAACCCTCTGGAACCCAAGTGTCTGATGGGTCACAGTGTGCTCAAACCCGGAGTTTCCATGCACCTCTGTTCCTGATGTCGGGTCACTGAGAGGAGTGATGCTGGAGTTGTGCATGCATTGCTGCTGTGCTCTATGGTTGGGAAAGCTGCCTGAGAGTTCCTTTTCATCATTGCACATAATCTGATTTTTTTTTTCCAACCTCTGGCAAAAATGCTGCTGGGAATCTCTTTAGTTCAAGGAATTGTCAGGGTGATTTGGTTAAGCTGAAGAAAAACTCCCACGTGCCTTAAACATGACAAATATTTTATTAGCTGGAAGTGTAACCAGCTGTAATTAGCTTAGCAGTCCAGAGTTAATAGATTTATAAGCTTTAGAGGATACAATGCACTAGTGAGACCTGCCTAGGAAATTCATCCTGCACCTCCCAAATTAACCTCTTGTTTCCATCTAGGCTCTTTCTGAAGTTTATGCTGATATCTTCCAACCTGTGTAGCCATTCAGAGCATTGCATTGTATGACTCTATTTCTTAATTTTTACTTTTTATTTCTTTCCAGAGCATCTTTTGCTCTTATTAATTGTTCTTATTACCTGCTGTTATCCATATAAGTAAATCAAATCTCCCACTGCAGAGGCTGGGCAGTGCCACACAAGCTCCCATCACTGGAAGGGATAAATACAACTAGGGAAGGGCTTCAAGGTCCTCTTTGTATCCACCCAATATTCAAAATGCACTGGAAAACAGGAGGAAATGCTGGAAGACAACCTTTCCTCCTTGCAAGGGCTCTCTGTCAGCCTACACTTCTTGTCTATCCCATCCCAAAGAACTTTGCCATGGATTTCTGATGGCTTGTGGTGTCCATCTGCTTGCTCCTTTGTTAAGAGTTTTATGAAATCCTGTTTTGTATACCTTGTAAGCTTTGGGTTAGTAGGTATAGGAATGAGAATGATGGGTGTCTGCTCCTTCCTTGCAGCCAAGCCCATTGGCTGAGTGGCCTAAGCCCATGGTCCCAATTCTAAGTAGGAAACATCTGGAAATATATTTGCTTTTGTCACAGCCAGAGAAAGAATAAATGTGGAGCGACAGGTGGGGGGGCCATGAGCCTCTCCCAGCTGATGGCTCCAGGTGGGATTTCAGGAGGGAATGATCCACTGGTGACTGGGAGGTGGGGAGAAAACAAACCTTGCAGCACTGCAAATGGTAGTGAGACCAGGGCTGCCCCAGCTGTGTCTGCTGACGCCAGGCTATTGTTTGCATGCTGCTGTTTGCACGTTGGAAGGGGAAAAGCTCCCAGTGTTCCTGTAGAGATGACTGGACATGGGGAGTGACGTCCCCACCTGGACCCTGAGGTTGTGAGCTGGGGAAGCGGCATCCAGCAGTAAAGATAATTATTTATACAGTGCTTGACTAATGAATGGCTTTGAATGGGGGCTTCCTGGAGTGTTTGCTCCACCCAGCTTTTGCAAGGGTGAGATTAGGGCTGGGAGGTTTCTTGTTTTGCTTTGTTTAATTCCCGCTGTGTGGTAGGAGAGGACCTTGCTGACGGTTGTGGCTGTGCAAGGCACAGGGTGGGTCAACTTTACATGTGTTGGGGTTACTGTTTAGCAAAAA